ANCAAAAAAAAAAAAAAAATTTCTTACTCTTTAAGATAAATTAATAGCTTTTATATATTAATAAATTTTGAAAACTTGGTGCAACCATGGGCAATCTAATCATTGATTACAATGGCGATTCTCGCCAATTAATTCAAATAGTATAAAATTTTTATATATTGTAACCTTAAGGATATTATGTTGCCAAAATTGCTATTTTGACATTTGACATAATAATTTACACAAATAATGTGTCAGTCTGGGTTGTTGATTTTAAAGATGATGGGATGAATAAAATAAAAAGATTATTTTATGTTAAATTTATGGGAAGGTTTAAGTTTGTGTAGCAGGTACATTATGTTGTTGCCATGACTCGTTTATTAATCTATCTATAATCTATAATATAATTTATATTTATAATTTATAATTTACTAGTACGACATTCGTGTACTACACGGGTGTTTTAAAAAAAAATCATTATAACAAAAAATGAATATATATATATATAAGTATTTATTTTTCTATATTAATCATTTAATTACATTTATAAACTTATATATGTCTGACACAAATATGATTTACAACTCTATCCAATTGAATTTTTAATCAATATGAGTTGTATGCTTGTTTATAGATATATTTTTAAATATTATATAAAATATTAAAATAATAACATAATAAGTTATGTTTTATTTATACTTTTTATTGTATCTTATAGTTGTTAATATTCGATCATTGAAAATATAAATTAATAATTGTTGACCTATTATTTTATGACTTGATCAATTATAATTAATTATTTTTCTATACTTTCAAATTTAGTATTTACTTATGACCATCATAATAATTTTCAATCATTTTATAATTTATTTAAATGGAGATATAAGTTTTAGAATTTTATTCATATTTATTCTATATTTATAATTAATATACAAACCAAAATTACGAAGCACAAAATATTTACATGTCAACATTCGAAGTGTCATCCAAAATGCCACTTATGCTCTAAACGTTTTGAATTAATATATAGGGGAATTGTGATCAAGGGCGGACCTAAATAGGGGCACGGGCCCCTGTGATTTTTTTTTTATCTTAAATTAATTAGTAACATGAAATTTTTATCTTAAATTTATTAGTAATTTCCATTTCTACCAACTTATTCTCAAATTAAAATCATATTATTTACCCATTTCAAAATTTTCTTAATAAATGGTCATGTCTCATAGTAAAACAAAATTCAAAACTCCAAAATCCAAAATATAATCCAAAATTACACAAAAGGAAAAAAAGAAAAAAATAGGTGATGTAGATTACAATTTGTTTAAAAAAAAAGAAATCAATTAATAGCTTGATATCACACGCAATATCTCCATACAATAAACGCACATAGTAGTATACATCCGAAGTAACGTGAAATTTTTTATCTTAAATTAATTAGTAATGTCCATTTCTACCAACTTATTCTCAAATTAAAAATCATATTATTTACCCATTTCAAAATTTTATTAATAAATGGTCATGTCTCATAGTAAAACAAAATTCAAAACTTCAAAATCTAAAATATAATCCAAAATTACAAAAAAAGAAAAAAATAAAAAAATAGGTGATGTAGATTACAATTTGTTTAAAAAGAAAAAAAATTAATTAAATACAAATTAAAATTGAAACCAATATATTGTGGATATAACTAAGAGACAAATAAGTGCAAAAGTCGAATTGTATTTTGCTAAGAATTTCATACTCAATTGTTGAGAAGATTTTCGTTCACATTAGGAAAACAGAGGAAATATAAAGATGTGAGAGAGACGTGATTATGGTTAACATTTAGTAATTAAGGAAATGAGAAGAGAGAGATTGAAGTAATATTTGACCGTTTTTATGTAGAATATTAAATTTAATTAGGGTTTTTTCCGAACCTAGCATTGTTAATACAAATAAATATTAATTTTTATCCGAACCAAAAGGCAAAACATGTAATATTTCCAAGTAAGCTTCCTAAGCGTGCGAGCCAGCCAATTAGGCTCAACACATTTTGCTAAGAATTTCATTCTCAATTGTTGAGAAGATTTTCGTTCACATTAGGAAAACGGAGGAAATATAAAGATGTGAGAGAGACGCGATTATGGTTAACATTTAGTAATTAAGGAAATGAGAAGAGAGAGATTGAAGTAATATTTGACTATTTTTATGTAGAATATTAAATTTAATTATGGTTAGTTCCGAACCTAGCATTGTTAATACAAATAAATATTAATTTTATCCGAACCAAAAGCCAAAGCATGTAATGTTGCCAAGTAAGCTTCCAAAGCGTGCGAGCCAGTCAATTAGGCTCAGTACGTTTTGAAATTATATAAGGGGGGATAATGATATGAAGAGGTTGTTGGAAAAATATATTTATAGTAATTTTGACTAAAAAAATAAATAGTTTGACTTACTATTAGTGAAAATTTTGAAAATAAAAAAAAAAAAAAAAAAAAAAAAAATGTGAATCATTATAAATAAAATTTAATTGAGATATCCCACAAAGTTTGGAGATTCTTATGATAACAAATTTGGAGATTTTTATACTAAAATTTAATTTGGTAACGCAAAACACTCCGACCGGCTTGAAATCAGCTTGCCACCTTCTTCCTCGCCAGTAGAACGCCGCATTCCTGCACAGAACTCTCACACTAGAGGGGTTTTCCGGTGAAGAGCCTCCGATGCTTAAGTCAGTATGTGTTTGTTCAAATTTTCCAAAGTAAAGAATGGATAAATCGTCATCTACAAGAAAAGGCTCACTCCCTTAAATATATGAGTGAGATACCTGCCCTAGGAACTACCCGGCTTTTGGTGAGCTGTCCTGCCCGTACACACATAATGTGTGTGTGTCAGAGATGTCAGGGGTGGCTTTTGCCACTATCACTCTGCACTAATATATTCTCACCACGTGTCCCTCTGAGCTGAGGAAGATTATTCTTCTGCGCAGGCCGTTGGGATCTTCTAAGCCATCCACGCGTTCAAGCCACGCTCTAGACTACTCTTCACCTGTTGAGTGCTCGATCTCCTCCCTTTTGGTCGACCCTCGACCAGTTCTGCTATTATGCTCGATCTCCTCCCTTTTGGTCGATCCTCGACCAGCTCTGCTATTATGCTCGATCTCCTCCCTTTTGGTCGATCCTCGACCAGTTCTGCTATTCTGCTCGATCTTCTTCCCTTTGGTCGATCATCCTTCTACCAATCCGGCTTTCTCCACTTCGAGGTTGCTCGATCGATGATGCAAATCGGTCTATTCCTCAGCTATATAATATCCCATATCATAATTCATTTCATAAATATTAATCCATAGGAATCTCATTTTTATGGTAACTAATTTGGAGATTCTTATACCAAAATTTAAGTCATTTCTTATATGCATCCCATATTTATTGGTAACAAATTTGGAGATTCTTATGTCAAAAATTTGAGATTTTGAATTGAGATATCCCAACAATTACGGATTTTTTTCCCATTCAAGTTAATGTTGTAAATCAAATAAAAAATTGTTTCGAGAATAATGAATGTTATACTAAATATTGATAAACACCAATTCTCCATAAATTATTTATATTTATAAATTTTATGTGTAATATATTGATTGGCTTTTCGTAAATCTATTATTATATAATAGAGAGAGTGATTTACTTGATATAATATCGAAATTCCCTCTTAAAATTTTCAAAGTTATTATTCATAGTATTTTTTTGTGTGCAAAATGGCGGCTAAATGTAAATTCGAATTCAAACTCTAAAAATTGTTATTTGAGAAAGAAATTGTGTAAACTTTAATTCCTAAAAACATGGTCATAATATTGCCCATAGAGATTTGTTACCATAATTGTAGAAAAATCAATGGAGTATCTTCTTTAATTGCATTCACAATATTAATGGTAGAGATAATATATGAAATATATTTTACATATATAATAATAATAAGAATAATAATAATAATAATAATAATAATAATAATAATAAAATCTATATGAACATCAATAATTTGCATATGATTTTTGAAATATTATAATAAACCTACTAGATTTGATTTTGTAAATAAATTATTAATTTAAATTTATTTTTTGCAGTATGTGACAACCTGTAACAAAAATTTGAAACCAAGTAAATAATTTACTTCATAAAATTATTATTACATAATAATTTTTGTAATAATAATATTGTGTAATAGTACAATTTTTAATATTACATTATGTAATAAAATTATTTTAATAATAATAATAATGACACTATATGATAATAATTTTTTTTAAAAAAATAATAGTTGAGTATTATGATGAACAAAAATAAGTAAAATTATTAATTTTTCTATCAAACAATAAATATAGGTAGCATTAGGAAACTTTCAGACTATTTCAGAAACAAATTTAGAAGATTTTTAGCACAATCAACCACATATATCAAATTTCAAAAATTTATTATGAATTCTGTGTTTAATTACGAAAACTTATAATCGGCAGAACATAATAGAATTTTCAGCCAAATATCCCCTTTCATTAATTGATTAATTGATTACGGGTAATTTAGTAATGAATCCCTAGAATTGTGTCTCTATTACATCGACGTCCATTTATCCAACCAGAGCGTGCCACATCAGCTTTCCTGCCAACGTGGCGTTCACTCCGCCAACTCTATATCACCTACCATTGACCCTTCTTCTCATCATTCTTCCGTATCGTAATCGCCTTTGCCCTCTCTTCACATGCAAAAATCGCCGAATAATTATTCCCACACTTTCAGAGCTAGAAAAATAGCCATGGAGGCTAGGGTTAGGAGTGGCGTGCTGGTGATTTTTGTGGCACTAGTGGCGGCTATCAGTGCACTTCCAGCGTCAGCGGATGATGTGGAAAAGGTGCTGACTTTGGACCATTCGAATTTCTCAGACACCGTAACCAAGCACGATTTCATTGTCGTTGAATTCTACGCTCCTTGGTATGTACATAGATTTTTGCTTATTTGCGTATATTTTCATGTAATTCTGCACATTAGCGAGCAATTTAACTTTATCTGTTTTTTTTTTTTTATTCTCGTTTTATATGTTTTATTTCTTGTCCTGTCTGTATGTGCTGTGCATCCCAGATCGAGTTTTTAGCTACTTGTTTTGTGACGTTCGAGGTGTTTTCTGGGCAGTAAATGATGTTCATTTTGTTATTTTAAGTCGGACATTGGTTGGCAGCCTGGCTGGGCTAGCTGCCTGCCGTGGCTTTCGAGAAATACCTGTTAGGGATGCAAAATTAGTTCTCTGTATGTGGGTTTAAGAAGTGTCTATAATTATCTGTGAATGTGATTTTGTTTTTGTTTGTGAAGTCATGTTCATATTGCTAGGAACCAATTTGTTATTACTCCCGGAAATTGAGGTTATTTAGGAGGTTAAGATCTGCATTCATAAGGCACAACATTTTCTTCACAGAATTCCTTATGTTTCTTAATTTATTGTTCATTGATGAAACCTCTGTTTACACTTTATGTGTTGATAAATCTCCCTCCTTGTTCGAACAGGTGTGGGCACTGTCAGGCGCTCGCTCCTGAGGTAAACATCCGGTTTTGCCTGTACCAATAAACTTTCTCTTGTTCTCGTTTCCCTCCTTTTTCAATTGCTAATAAACAACGTATTATTTGGTGCTTAGCTTATGNGGCTTCTGAATTTCAGATCCAGGGCTTCCCTACCATTAAGATCTTAAGAAATGGTGGAAAAAGCATTCAAGAGTATAAAGGCCCTCGTGAGGCTGATGGCATTGCCAGTTACTTGAAGAGACAAGCTGGTCCTGCTTCGACTGAGATCAAGTCGGCTGAAGATGCTGCTAGTCTTATTGATGAGAAAAAGATTTTTATTGTAAGTTAGTTATGTTTCTAGTTCTGAGAATTTTGATTTCATTTTTGCATTATCATTGGAATTCTTTTGAGCTTGAATTTTATCTGCTAGGTCGGAATTTTTCCCAAATTCTCTGGGGAGGAATTTGACAATTTCACTGCTTTAGCTGAAAAGTTGAGGTCTGACTATGATTTTGGTCATGCCCTAGATGCTAAACTCATTCCGAAAGGCGAATCAGTCAGCAAGCCCACCCTTCGCTTGCTTAAGCCTTTTGATGAACTGTTTGTGGATTCTGAGGTATTGCCAACTCATATCAAGTCCACGGAAGTTTTTTCTTTTTTCCTTTTTTTGTGGTTGTTTTTTTTCTGAACACGCGCTGTTATAATCCAGGATTTCAATCTTGATGCATTGGAGAAATTTATCCAAGATCTTTCTGTTCCAATTGTGACTACCTGGAATAGTGATCCTAGTAACCACCCGTACATTAACAAATTTTTTGAGGGTCCTAATGCGAAGGTACTCTTTTACTCTACTGGAGTCGTTATTACTTTGTTGTATGTGAGGGATTCAACTGCAAATTGAGCATAGTTACTTGTATAATCTGAAACATTTATTCCACTCAATGGCTAACTTGCCTTCCTTGAGGAAGTAATTTTACAATCTAACATGACCCATTTTATGCAAAATCACATGCGCATTAGGCATTTGATGTTGCATTCAGTCCACATCAAGTTGGATAACCTTGAAGATGCATTGAATACATTTCTCCTTCTTCCAAATGTCATGTCCCTGCAAAATGTATGATGGATGACACTTGCTTCAGTTGTGATTTACTAGATTATCCTGAAGGGTGGCTAAATTTGACATGGAAAAGTTTTTGGCAGAAGTTTCACTAAGTTTTGTGCTATACATTGTCATTGATAAAATCTTTGACGTGTTCCCAAGTGATGAACACACCTAAAAAAGGTCCCAATTTTGTGCCAGACTTTTGTGATTCTCTTTCTGCAGTTTGTTTGTGTTGGTAATTAAGGGAACAGTTCATTTGCTGTTCTGTGCTCTTGGACCGTAATACCAGTTTTTTGTTTGGTGTTTCAATATTATAAGTTCACATTTTAGACACATTCCATGTTTTTAACTGATGCATTGTTACAAATGCAAGATTTGAGCTCTATCTAGATACTTCACAGTGTTTTGGCTGGTTATTTGTTCTCAACTTTAACTAATTTGATATGCACAGGCCATGCTATTTGCGAACTTCAGCGAACAGTATGATGCTTTCCTGTCAAAATATAAGGATGTGGCTACCCTTTACAAAGGGAAGGGCATAAACTTTTTGTTCGGCGATATTGAATCCACCCAAAATGCCTTCCAGGTAGTTTATCCATAAACCTTTTCGTCATTTTCTTTTTTCTGTTTTCCTCTTTTGCTGGCTATCGAATTTGACATGCATGCCTCTTATTTGTGGATGGCAGTACTTCAACTTGAAACAAGAAGATGCACCTCTGCTTATTGTACAGAAATCTGATGGTCAGAAATATCTGAAAACAAAAATAGAGCCTGACCAGATTGCACCCTGGTTGAAAGATTACTCGGTACTTGGCATACTTTCGATTAATGGGTTGTTTGTATGTGGTGGTTCAATACAGACAACTGACAAACCTTTGAATTCGTCTTAATAAAGTCCTATCTCATTAGTGGTTGCTAATGTTTCTATCTTCAATTGGGGACAGGAGGGACAAGTGAAGCCCTATGTGAAATCAGAGCCCATTCCCGAAGTCAACGATGAACCTGTCAAAGTGGTTGTTCGCGACAGCCTTCAAGACGTAGTTTTCAACTCTGGAAAGAATGGTTTGTACTAAAAAAACTTTGGATTTTTCTTTCTTCCGTTCGTTTTGTATTCATAACTTTTGAGCGTAACATTTGGTCTTCAAATATAAAAAGAACAAATTATATTTTGAAAACTTTGTGATGCAAATGTGTCCTGTGTTTTATCTCTTCAATCTTGCCTTCCTTTACAATATTTGCTTTTTGAGGAACTTAGAAAGTTCACAAATTTTCAAACTGACGTCGTTTTCGTTTGATGAAAGCGATTGTTCTGTTATGAGTACATCTATTTAAATTTCCACAACTTCTAAGTACAATTTGTGTTAATTTCATACTTTGTGTTTTACAGTTCTCCTCGAATTCTATGCACCTTGGTGTGGACACTGCCAGCAGTTGGCTCCCATCTTGGACGAAGTTGCTATCTCCTTCAAGAATGATCCTGATGTTGTAATTGCAAAATTCGTAAGTCTTCCTCTCAACGTTGTAAATTGTACTTGAACTGGTGATAGGGTTTGGTTTGAGAATTTGCATTGTCAACTTGCCATTCTCATTCTCAAAA